AAGGATCCGTGGTACCACATGATTAAAGCGCTCGACTGCTTTCTTTAGTGTGTGTGTGCGCTCGCTTTCTTTCGTGTGTGTGTGTGTGTGTGTGTGTGTACATAAGGATCCCTGGTAGCACATGATTAAAGCGCTCGACTGCTGACCACCTGGTTGGCCATTCAAACCCACCAGCCGCTTCACCGGAGAGCGATGTGACTGACAGTCTGCACCTGTCAAGAAGACGACCTTGGGGACTCTGGGACAGTTCAGCCCCGACTTGTAGGGTCGCTCTGGATCTGGACCCACGGCACGCTTAGTCATGCGACATGATGTACTGGCCAGTCAATTCGTGGCCATGGACTTGGCCATAGGGAGCCTCCGCTGGCTAAGTTTAAGGAGAGGAGCTGGTTGGCCTCATCTCACCCAGGGGAGCCTCGGAAGCGGGCCTGTGGAGCACCCTGTGCAAACACCCCGTGGGGCAGTTCTACTCTGCACGCCGGGGTCGCCCCAGTAGGAACGCGACCGATTTAGGTGCATTGTAGTGGGCGGGGCCGGGAAAAGGGGCAGGATGACTTTGAAAAAAAAAACAAAACGAGAGAGCGAATCTGTGCTGGATTCTTTTACCTTCCTCCATGGTTTTATTATTCAGAGTTCTTCATGAAATGCGGTCATTGTTTTTTGCTTGTTTGCTTTTTAAGTTTGTTGAATGGAAGGTGTGAGATTGTTTACTAGGCGAGCACGGGCATAGTTGTTTACATAGCCTAGTGCAAGGCGCGCGCACGCGCGTGATCTCCATTCTATACCTAGGTTTCTTGGCATGTTGTCCTCCAATAAGAAAACTCCCAAAGGAACCGCGACATAGCACATTCTGATAGAACTCCTGTGTGTGTGGGTGGTGGGGGCGATGGTCAGGGCACAGGCAACGTTTGTTACAAGACTAAACTAGTCTTTAAAAGTTCAAACCCTAGCTAGAGACTCACAAAAGGAGTCAGGGTTGTTTAAATCATAAACAAGTATTATCCTACCGATGATGTAATAATGCGCTTGACCCCAGCATCCTGTAGCCTGCATGCATGTTAGCAAAAAAGTTCATGAGGGAAATCCTACTGAATTAATATATCCCAAAAATGCTTCTAAAAATCGCTTCTCAGCCTTTTGGCTAAGATCAAGTGCAAAAATGCGTCTAAAATATATTAGCAATTGTTTGGATGTCATCTACCTTTCTCTAAAACTCAAATTGGCATCAGAAATCTTAGAATCCCAGGATACAATCACATCTTCTCTTCTGGACATGGCATCTGCCGCAGAGACCAAACCCCATGGCCTTTGAGCTGGTTCTGACTGACACCAACCTTACAGGACCTGGTAAAACTGCCCCAGAGGTTTCTGAGTGTCTCAGTCTGTATGGGACCAGACAGCCACGTCTTTCTCTTGAAGAGAGGCAGGTGGCGTGAACAGTGGTGGGATTAAAATAATCTAACAACCAAAAAATAAAGTCAGATAATTTAACAACCAGTTTTCTACCCTAATCACTGTTTTAAGTATATAAACAAGATATACTGAAAGGTAGTTTATTATTTCATACAGTTAATACTTAAATAAGAACAATAAGGTATACAACGTAGATTATGTTATAAGAAAGTTTTAGAATATTAATGAAAAAATAATAATACCTGACCAAAAAAAAATAAAACTTATTTCTCCTTTGCTTCTTGATTGGCATCCTCACTTGCAATATTCTTCCCATTTACCTGAACATCATCGGCTGTGTGAATTATCCTTAACTATCTTTTCAATATGGGCATAGGATCCCATTCGTTTAAAGCAGCGGTTCTCAACCTGTGGGTCGCGACCCCTTTGGGAGTGGAACAACCCTTTCACAGGGTCGCCCAATTCATAATAGTAGCAAAATTACAGTTATGAAGTAGCAATGAAAATAATTTTATGGTTGGGGGGTCACCACCACATGAGGAACTGTATTAAAGGGTTGAGGCATTAGGAAGGTTGAGAACCACTGCTTTAGAGGTAGGCCAATTAGACAATGGTCATTGTGTTTGATCTAGTAGAAACAGGTGACTTCTCGGAACATACTTTGTTCATCTTTGAAAAACCCCTTTCTGCTTCTGCTAAAGTTACAGCAATTGTTCTGACAATTCTTTTAGCTCTTCGAACACTTTCAGGATTGTATCATTCACTCATCATGTCTCGTGGGAATTTGGGGCGTCACACAAAGCTGAAACGATTACAGCTTGTCCCCTCTGGTTGTTTGGCATTTTTTCTCTTTATGTTATATATTTGCTGAAGTAACAAACACAAGGGAATAAAAATGTATCTCATTAAAAGTTTAATGAAAAAAATGTATATAAAACAAGTTTTATGAAATGGTTCAATAAATATTACAAGCATAGTTTCATCTAATTTTGTATACCTATGAGTAGAATGAGCATTACTACTGGCACATAGAATATGCTGTTGCACAGATGAATGTTCAAAAAGATTAAGGAATGTAAATTTATGATTTCCACATTGGGCAGCTGCCCAGCTTAGAAAGAACCCTGATGACAAACACCATTTTAACTGGTTTGCCTAGCTGAACAAAAAAATTAGTTACCAGCTCTGTGGAACTTGTGGGAGCTGGCTGAATGCCACCACTTGGTTTGAACCATTGACCTTACCACTAGCTACCCAACCTGTAACCCATTGTGCCAACAGGACTCCTTCAGGAGGGGACTGGTCCCTGAAAAAGGATGTCATGCTTGGTAAAACAGAAAGTCTGTGAGAAAGCGGAAGCCCCTCACGAGATGAACTGGTACAATGGCTGCATCAGCGGCTCCAGCCCAGCCACCGTGTGAAGATGGTGCTGGACCAGGCAGCATTTCCCTCTGGGTGGCGCAGGGACACTGAGAATGGGAGCCACCTCAGTGGCACACAGCATCCTTCTGATCATGGGTTCATCCCACTCTTCCCTAACTAGTATTTTGCATCAAAATACATTTCTAATGATCACCCCGCAGAATCGTAACATCGGAATCACCTAAAAACAATCAGCTGTGTTCCCTAGTCACCGGGAGAAGGGTCATACTAACTGTAACTAACTCCCTGCCATCTAGTGATGCCGACTGATAGCAACCCTGTCAGATGGGGTAGAATGCCCCCCTGGGGTTCTGAGACTCATTCTTTACTGGAATAGAAAGCCTTGTCTTTCTCCTGAAGAGGGAGGAGCTGGTGGTTTGAAACTACCAACTGTGTGCTTAGCAGCCACCAGGACACCTTGTGTAATACTCACTGCCATTGAGTCAATGCTGACTCATAGTGACCTCTCCTGTGGGTTTCTGAGACTTTAACTGTTGACAGAAGTAGAAAGCCCGGTCTTTCTCCCAAGGAGCTGCTGGTGGTTTCGAACTATCAGCCATGAGGAATGCAGCCCAACTTGTAACTATACCACCCCTGTTGGATAGTACTCTACGCTCCTAAAAAAGCAAACTCATTACCATGGAGTCAACTCTGATGCACAGCAGCCCTGCAGGGAGAGAAGAGCTGCCCCTATGGATTTCTGAAGCTGAGAATCTTTTACAGGAGCAAAAAGCCTCACCTTTCTCCCATGGAGCAGTTTGATGGCTTTGAACTGCTGACCTTACTGAGTCAGCAAGCCAAAAGCCAAAACCAAACTCACTGCCACCAAGTTGATGGTGACTCATAACAAACCTATAGAACAGAGTAGAACTGCCCCTGTGGGTTTCAGAGACTGTAAATCTTTATGGGAAGAGAAAGCCTCATCTTTCTCCCATGGAGCAGCTAGAGGTTTCAAACCACTGGCCTTGTGGTTAGCGCAATGCATATACCCACTATGCCACCAGAGCCCCTTTTCAATTAACCAGAATATTCAATACTACTAATCCCTGTAAATCTCGAGCATTTGATGAAAGTCTTACTCTATATAAATTTAGGCTGTTCATTTTGTTTGGTCTGAAGACTTAATAATTTTATACTTAGTACTTTCTCTTCAATAATCCCCCCCCACACACACACACACACAGTGAGTCAATACATAACTCAAAGCCACATAACTGGGCCTGCCTTCCAGTTCGTTCAGATTTTCAGTCCCAGACTAGGCATTCCAAAACAAATCTGTGCCTCAGAAGGAGGGTATGGGTGTGTAGGGTTGGCTTTGGCTTTGGTTTATGAGAAATCTCCCTTGGAGTAAGAGGGGGCTGGCCAGACCCGTAAAGACTCACAAGGGAACCCTGGTAGTACAGTGGGTTAGGCCTTGGGTTACTAAAGACAGGGTCTTGGGTTCTAACCCACCAGCGGCTCTGAGGGAAGAAGAT